TAAGGGCCTGCGCACAATAGAGGAACAAGAATTAGATATTAAAATTTCAACCTATCAGAAACCGTGTATTCCGATGTAATCAGTTTCTGATATGTTAAAATCTTAATATCTAATTCCTGTTCCTCTATTGTGCTCAAGCCCTAATACTACTAATAATACATCTGTGTATATTTTTAATACTTTATTAAAATATTAGGTGTTAAACTTAATTCCTGCCGTTTTTCGTCTCCAAAATTGATTTGTTTCGAAGGAAAATACTTAATCAAAGTATTATTAATAAAGTATTATTAATTAGTAATAAAGTAGAAAATGGAGGAAATTACTTTGATTGAGGTATTCATTCATCTTCCCTTCGAAATCAATTTTGGAGACGAAAAACGGCAGGAATTAAGTTTAACACCTAATATTTATATATTAGGTACCGCGGAAAATTCGTGTCGTTTTTTCAAGAAATGTTTATAGGGGAAAGAAACGACATAAACTTTCCGCGGTACCTAATATATTTTTTTCTGTTATTAAAAACAGAGATTACAAAATAAACAACAATGATGAAATAAACGGGCAAATGAGAATTTTTTATGCACTATTATTCGTGCGCTATAAATTAAATCTATATTCTCTTACATTAGGAACGTTCGGACGTTCCTAAAGTAATGTAAGAATATACACAGATTTGGACTGCAAGTTTCACGAAATGTTGGCATTCCAAGAATGGATCTGGACAGAGAAAATCCGCGAAACACATAATCTTTATATATACAATTTTATAACTCGACGTGATCTCTAATCCTGAAATCGTAACTTATCATTTTCCAAAAATATCCCCATTTATATATTTTTTAATATTTTTTCACAATAATTTTATTAAGTTCTTTGTTAATGTTACACACACACACACACACACACACACAACGCGCGCGCAGGCGTAAAAAAAAAGGATTAATGTATGGATACTTTTTTTCCTGTGTAATCTGAAGCACTACAATTTTTTTTTAATCCCATAATTCATAACGTAATTTACGTTATTATGAGTTATGGGATAAAAAAAAAGAAATCATAATAATGTTTCAGACTACGCATAGAAAAAGAAGTACTCACATTGACCTCTGTTACACGGCACGCTTTACGCCAAAGTTATAATATCGATGTTATGAAACTGGCCAATCATAGCTATTCCTCTGAAGAATGGAATGACTGTGATTGGCTAGTTTCATAACATCGGTGTTATGACTTCGGCGTAAAGCATGCCGTGTAAACGTAGTAAGTGATCCTTTTTTTTTAGTGTGTATGATATGTGTATAACATTAACAAAGTACTAAATCTCCATAAAGCCGGGAGCACATAGAAAAACGTAAGGCCGTAAGGCGTAATCAGTAAGGAAATCGTAACATTGGATTCGCTACTGGCCTTACGGTCTCTACTGTGATTGGCCAATTCACTTACTGCTTGCGTGCTACAGCCTTACGTTCTTGTATGTGTCATGGGCTTAAAGGTATATCCACACAAACTGGCATAGCCGCATAAACGTATGCATAAAGAAAATTATCCAACCACATTTTATGTACGACTTTAAAAGAGAACTGCAATTGGATAATTTTCTTTATGTATATATTTATGCGGCTATGCAAGTTTGTGTG